TTTTTTCTTTTGGTTGCAAGGTGGAGATACTGTAACAATTTTCATATTCCCATAAGCAGGAACCCCCCCTTCTACATCATGGTTAGACATGCTTGTAGTTTTAAATGTTGATTTATATCTAGATTCAAAATACTTTTTCAATTTACTGATAATGACTAAATTTATTGTGGTGCTACACATGTGTTCTCAAACTTTTGTACAAATGTACTTTTTATTTTTTAAAAAATGAAAATTAATTAATTAATTAATACTGATTCCAAAATATTATTGTTGAACTATAAAATCCAACTGGCAATTTGGAGAGAACTAAAAATCTTGTCTTGCTAACCAGAATCAAAGAAACAAGAGAGGCTCACTGCACTCTGAAGACCTGACTTAATGAATCTAGCACTTGACTTAAGTGTTCCATTGGAGAGAAGGGGATGATTCAGATAGACTTTAAGAGGCAAACAAGTTGGGGGTTGGAATCTGTGACATTCCAAGCAATGTTTAAATGTTTGCTAAATGGATACAGTAACCATTCAAAAAGATATTTTCGGATAAACAACATAATTCCCAGTCTCTCTGTGCTTTCTTATTCAACTCTATTGAAATTTCTTGGTATACAAAATGAAGCCATCTCTGGGGAATATTTATCCTTCTTTGCCTTTTTGATATCAAGACTGGATTTTTTCTGTCTATCTTCAATGTGACCAGCTCTTGAATATTGGTCTTTTCTTTGTTATTTAAATCCTGTAGTTTTTAATAAGCTGTTATTTGCTGTTATATATGTTGCCCTGCTCCCATTACATTGAGAAGCCATTAAGCAATCTTGGCATAAGTAGAGTTGCATAAGTTGCATTAGTAAATTTCAGGTAGTTAACACGTGAAGTTAACTCTTATTTTTATTCGGACTATAAGCCACCCAGAGTAGATTCATTGAATCTAGATTGGTGGGGCAAACGCCAATAAATAAATAAATTTTAAAAAGAAAAAAAAGTTAACAGGAGAAAGTGGCTGAAAAGGTCCCTCACATTTTTACATGAATTTTTAAAAATCAGATGAGGTTGAAGAAGGATGGAAGAAATTATTCTCTAATGGGGGAAATTACTATATTTTTTTGAGGAGGAAGAGGGAAAGAGGATAAATAATTCCTACATTGCTTTAAAAAAAAACAGGTTGTGATGGGAATAAGACTGTGTGAATTGATACTAGGCAACGAAAGAACTGGCAAACTAAACTGAGATGCAATAGAATCATATTTTATTGAGGCACAACCTTAAGTACCCAAGGACTATCTGTTCTGAGAAGAAGGTGGATCAGGGCCTGCTTTTTTTTTTTTTGGCAAAAATTTCTGACTCCCTGCTGTGCCAGTAACAGAGTCAAATTAGAAGTAAAAATTTTAACTGCTATCCGTGATTGTTTCCCTCTCAGCCACAGTGCTCTCACCTGTAAAATATGAGTAGTAACTGCTTGTCTTTTTTTTTTAGTTCTTCTTGTTTCAGGTACCTAGTATGTAGTAACTTAGATACATATCTGCATGATATTTGACATCATCCCAGCCACAACTTTGAATCCATTTCTGTGCATGTCCCCTGTTTTGCTCCTGTTTCCAGTAGCTATACCTCAGGGCATTAGACAACAATGTTGTGCATTTGCGTCTGTTCCAGGGACCTGCCTTAACTTCTACATAGTCAGATGCTCTTTAAGTAAACTTGGGTCTGTGGTTAATAAGGTCAGGGCTTAGTCCTTTGTTATCAGTACTGATGAAGGATTCAGGATAGGAAAGCGGCCAGAACTGAAAGTGGGACAGATGGAAGTACTGGCGTGAAGAGGTCTTTCTCTATTGACAATGTTTCTGTTACCTGCATGCAATTAATAGGATGATGTTTTGCTTTTGCCTGCTGAACCAAAGGGGTCTCCATGCTACTTCCTTTGGTGTGGTGATTGAAAGACTCTCTCTTTATATACACTTGACAGCCCCACCTATGTGGAATTCCGTTTACATAAAATTTCAGGTTTTGAAATTTGCAAATTTTAGTACAGTAAGTAAGCAAAATATCTCTCTTATCTGCACAAAGCCCAAGGACTGGATAAACATTTTCCCTTTTGCAATTTTAGCTTGATCACTTTTCTCCAGCCAATATTCAACTGGTTTTAAGTCTTTTACCCTAGTGGGTGAAAAGTGTATTCAGTAATTATCTGGCTATTTCCTCCTTTTTCTTGTGTGTCTGTGTGTGTCTCTCTCTCTGTGTGTGCTTTAGTTAACAAACTCTTTTTCAGTATAACTTTGGAATACCCCTAGAGTGCAGAAACTTCTACCTGTTGTGAGGGTGTCCTTACTTTATTGTCTTACTGGTAGACCAAGGGATCACCAACTTTGTTGTTTGTATATATCATGATCATTCAGGTTAAATACTTACTTTCGCACATGTGGGCTTGTATAACTTGACATCATTGCACTCTTTTTGAATGTTTACAAACTAACAGATTTTCAGTACTGTACCATCATAACCATTGCCATAATTAACAACTACATTCTGTAGTTCAGCTTGCTATTCCATATGCATCAAATGAGAACTGCATGAAGAAACAGGTTACCGAAGTCAAAACTGGAGTGAATAAAAACTTCCCTTTCTTCCAAGGTGAAAAACATTCTATCTGGTGTGTACTGGTATCCAAACTGTGGTGCTTTTAAAGCATGTTGTATTTTTGAAGGATGTACAGATTACCTATAAAGTATGTGGTGTTTTTAAAGGTCACATGGAACAATTAGGAAATAGAAATATAAAGAGTGTTTAATTGCAGCTGCTGCAGTGTTTGGTTAAAATCCATATCAGTCCATTACTGCTTTATAATGAAAAAAAATGAATTATTGTGGGTGCTAATATGTCTGCTGTATGCATATTTCAAGAAAAGTGACAGACATGATTCAAAAAGGGGTTACTATGACCATAGCTATCTGACAATGAGTAATGGAATCCCATGTGTACTCTTGGAATTGATAGTAATGTGATAGTGTGTACACTTTTGCTCGCTGGCCTTAATAATCTCTCTGTTAAGAAATACATATCATAATACATATTTACACTTTGAGAGTCATAGTGAATAGAAATGTAGATTAAAAAAATTAAGTTGCTTCAGAATTTGCAGTCATCAAATGATGAACACATACTCTCCCTGTAACTTTATGTGAAGAGACCTTGGTTGTGCAATTTGGAACGACTCGACTGTTCCTTCAGACGACATCTAGGATGCTCAGAGGGATGCAACTTACTACTAAATATTTATAAAATAATGAAAGGAGATGGTGATTTGAAAAGAGGAAGCCTGAATAAAATATGCTTAACTCTTCCATGTCTATGGTTTCTCCCTTGCACTCCTCTCCCCTCCACCATGGGCTGTTCTGCCCTATTTGTTACAGCAGCACCTGCCAACGGATTGCTGACTGGAGAAAAGCAGGTGAGGGAGTGGAGTACAGGGAAAGTGTCAGGCAAGGGAAGATTTAAACACCTTTTCCAGATCATTCTGTTGCTCCATCACTTTTCCCTATTTGGATCATTAATCAGAAGTCAGTTTGGGATGGAAGTTGATTACTATGTCAACAGAAAGGAGAAACTTGATGATACATGTAGTTTCTTAAGGCCATTATTGTAAACTATTTGGGATTCAGCATACCACTACAAATTCTTTATAAAGATTAGTGGTGCTGTATTAAAGTGGGATCTTGATCTGTGTTGGGATGATGAAAGATGACTTTTTGTAGACAACTACAAATGTTATTAATCATTAAAGTTTGCTGCCCAGAGTAGACTATCTGTCTAGATGGGCAGGGTATAAATCTAATAAATAAATAAATGTATTAGTAGATACATGAAACTGAAACCCTAGATTATTGGTTACATATAAATTTTTTTTTGAAAATGATAGTCTTTGAATTGAATAATTAAAGTAGTCTATCACCAAAGTGTGAGAACTGGACCTTGTTTAGAATGAGGTTGTATGTTAGATGTTGTTTTAATTTGAAATAAATAAGGGGTTAATTATGCTGCTGCTGTTACTCCTAATACCATACAAAGGATTGCATTTCATTTCTCTTGGAGACAGATATCATTGTAATTGTGGTACTTCAATTTGTAATTTATTTATTTATTTTTTTAAATTTTAGAATGAATTCATTTAAGAATTTCCCATCATTCTTACATCATAATACTGGTTTACAAAATGGAAAAGAAGGGAAGGCAACATATGCATTTTAGTCTTCCAAAATGTTTTATATGTCATGACATCTCTAAAGCAGGAGTCCAGTCACTAGGTATCTTGCCTTTCTAATGATCCTCAGATCATTTATGGAGTAAGAACAATGTGATGCTTAGGATTGTGTTGTTGTTTGTATTCTTATCTGTGGTTAGTATTTTCTTCCACAGTGTATAAACAGTTAGTCTGTATTTTATTATGATTTCAGCTTTGACAATGTTCTTTGTTTGTTTTTTTCTCATTCTTTTCAAACCCCTGTTTATATGTGTGTATTTTTTCCTCTGCCTAGACCTGGTTAACCATTTCTGTGAACAGGTCCTCAATTTTTTACTTTGTCCCTACTTTCCTGTCGTAGCCCCATCTTCCCCTGGTGTCGACTCCGTACCCTTACAGCGCACAGGCAGTCAACACGGCACACAGAATGCAACAGCGACCTTCCAGAGGGCCAGCTATGCAGCAGGCCCAGCCTCCACTTACGCAGACCCCTACCGACAGCTGCAGTATTGTCCTTCTGTTGAATCACCATACAGCAAATCTGGACCAGCCATCCCACCTGAGGGAACCTTGGCTAGGTCACCTTCAATTGATAGCATTCAGAAAGATCCCAGGTGGGTGAAACCTTACTTTTCTCTACAGTTATGAACTCATAAAGAGGTTTGCACAGATGTTGTGTGTTTAATCAGTCACATTGGTTGCCCAGTGAGGTTCAATGTTTAATTTGATTGCTGTTTTGAAAATACTTTTTCAGTTTCAGCAGTAATGAGAAAGTAAAGTGAATATGGGCTACTGCATTCTTCTGATAAACCTTCCACGAAAACTTGTCTACAAGCAAATAGCTTGTATACTCGTTAGACAAACCTGTATCAGTATTGGCATTCTCAGTTTACATTGGCAACATTACCATTATTCAGGAAAATAATATTATAGTTTCTGTAAAGATTAATACTTCATTAAATTCTATGATTACTTCTACTTCAACATGCTGGGATTAAAAAAAGAATATTTTCAGATCTGTTGTCATGGCTTATTTTTAAAATAAAGCACTCAAGTTGAGCTGGGATTACAAAAAAAATCTGTGCAAACAAATTTTATTTTAAAAAGATAGGGCTAATTCATGCAAGATACCCGTTTCATGCTTTGTTATGCTTAAACAGGACAGAACCTCAAAATATCAGTGTTCAGGCCGAGGAAAATTCACTCATTGTAAACTCTTTGCCCTTGTATATACAAAACATATCTGCTAGAATAGAAGTTTGGGTTTACACAGAAAAGCTAAGAAAACTGGCTTTACACCTTGTGGTAAAAAAAGTAGTTCTGTTTCAAAACCAGAATTTTCTTTCTTTTGCACTTGACATGTCCCGTATTCAATGTGGGAGGTTATAATGATTTTGACTTATATGTTAGTTAGGAATAGGTGGGGAAGACATCATTACACAGTATAACATCCACATGGGCTTTTTTGTAAAGTCCACAGGGTGTAGCAATTCAACAATACAGAGTTACTGATTTAGTATTACTTAAAACGCATAATGGGTTGGTCACAATAAAGCTTGGCTGTGCTGAAGAAAATCTTCTGCACAAGAGACAAAAATGAATAGTACTGGGTACATTAAAGGGAACTATGAAGTAAATAGACATTTTTGAAGTTTGCTTGTTTAGTACCTCATATTGCATTGGCTGCTAATTATCAAAAGAGGCCTCTATTTAAAAAAAAAACACACACACATAATCATTAGAAGCTTGTTGAGACTAGGGTGGTGTTTCTTGTTTTGTTTACCATTGTTTCTTTACACTGCTTTGATGATTTGCCTGTTTATCCTAGTCATTTTCACTGTGATACACATTTAACTATCTCAGTTGGTAACTATTTCTGTTGATATAATAGTATGGGGAGCCAGCATCTGTGACATATGTATAGGCACTTATTCATGTAGCTGGAACATATCTAAATAGAGGAAATCTGCTGTATACATCACAAATTTGTAGCTACTTGAATGTTATTTGAAATGTTTTCCTATATCAATAATGTAGAGGTCTTTTACATTTATCCACGTAAGCCTTGGTTCTTCATTGGTTGGGCATTTTATGAAATTGATTGCACTTCTAGCAGTAGGAGAGAGGAAGGAGAGAAAAATGACACAGCACAAAGTATCTTTGATGGAATAAAGGAGACTAACATTTCATTTATTACAACTACAAGTTTTGAAACATCGTACGGCACAGATCCTCCCATCAAATGCCCTGCCTCCCACTTGATGGCTCCCCCATCGCACATAGTGGACAACTTCTGGAGTGGTAGAATGCTGGAGCCTATGTGGGCATCAGCTATTTTGTGGATCTGTTCCATCACCTGAAGATGAAGCAATGCCCTGCCTCCCACTTGATGGCTCCCCCGTCGCACATAGTGGACAACTACTGGAGTGGTAGAATGGTGGAGCCTATTTTGTTTCATCACCTGAAAATGAAGCGGTCATTATGGCTTCCAAACTGGCCATTTGCCTTGCAAGTGTAATCTTAAGTTCCGTTAGGCATATTACCACATGGGAAGTACATCAGCCCTCATTTATCCCCAAAATGTATCCAGTTCAGTGCCCTGAATGCCTTGCATGAAAGCTGTGACAGAAAATATGTAACTGTGTGAATTGCTGTGAGGTATTCCTTAAGCAGGACCAATGAGTCTGTGCATAAAAGTCCTCCATAGTCCCATCAACTAGTGACTGACTGAAATCCATAGCATCATACAATGGGAAAATGGGAGGTAGTTTTGAGAAGTCTGTTCCTCCACTGAAGATGGGTGCTATAGTTGGCAGATTTAGTTAGGAATAGGTGGGGAAGACTTAATTCTCCAAAGAGTACAGCACAAGCTCTCCTCTCACAACTCATCAATGCTCCTAATTGGTTGATGTGATTGTGACTCTCCAGTGACTCTGTGGGTTGCATCATCAGCCGTAAACATCCAGGATAACAAGGGGATTAGGCATCTTGCATCTGGTCCTCATAGCAAGGAAGAAAAGGTCATCAGGGTCAACATAAAGGAAGCAACCATGCCCTCTTATGAGTCATTATACACAGGAAATTCTAGGGTAATATAATGCACACTCAGGACTTTGAAGAAATATGGCTTTAGTAAATTTAAGGAGATAATGGGTGAGATCTCATGGTCACAAATAGTCAAAGAGAAGAGAGCTCATGGTGGATGGGAGTTACTTCAAAGTGTGATGCAGAAGACACAGTCACAAACAGTTCTAATGAGAAAGAAAAGTGGCAGGTGACTAGGAAACCAGGCTGGCTGCATACATACAGTACAGAGCTTTCAGATGGGCTAAGATTTAAATGGGACATTTATAAGAAGTGAAAGGAGAGGGAAATCGCCAAGTAGCTAATATTTTTAGGGAGAAGATTACAATCTATAAAGCTCAGAACAAGGTCAGGCTTGAAAAATTTATTAAAAATAATAGAAAATATTACTTACTTACTTACTTACTTACTTACTTACTTACTTACTTACTTACTTACTTACTTACTTACTTACTGCCTATCTGTCTGCCAAGGCCACTCTGAGTGGTTTACAATAAAATAAAGCACTAAAACCAATATAAAATAATAAGCACGTAAACATCACAATAATATGAAAATGAAAATACATATATTCTAATCAATTAAACTTAGAAAAAAAACACAACATAGAAGACAGCTGAAAAAGTAGAGGGTTCAGCAGTGCTCAGCAGGAAGAAGAACAAGGAATCAAGAGGTGTGCTGCATGAAGAGGTGGAGAAATGCTAACAGATTAAAGGGAAAAGACAAGTAGCTCAGCACCTACTTTGCCTCCATCTTATCCCAGAAAGAAAAAAATGCTCAACCTAGCAAGGGGGCTGGTTCCCAAGTTACATAAAAAGGTCATATGAGAATATCTAGTGACACTAAATGAATTCAGTTCTGCAGGACCAAATGAAATGCATCAAAGGGTACTAAAAGTATGTACAGATGTAATTTCAGAGTCTCTGTCTATATTCCTTGCAAATTCTTGGAGAGCAAGTGAGGTCTCTGAAGACTGGAGGCAGACAAATGCCATCTCCATCTTCAGAGATAGAAAGAGGAGATCTAGGCAACTACTGACTGTTCAGCTTGACATAATTACTATGAACATTTGTGTAAGATCATTGAAGAGTCAGTCTATGAATATGTAGAAAAGAACACAGTGATTTCTAAAAACCAGCGTGGGTTTCTCCAAAACAAGTTATGCCAGAGTAATCTTATTTGTTTTTAATAGTCACAAGGTTGGGGGAAATGAGGATTTGGTGTATTTGGATTTCATTAAGCTTTTGACACGGTCTTACATACTATACATGTGGGCAAGCTGATAAAATGTGGACTAAGCAGTGCAGCTGTTCAGTGATTTATAGCTGTTGATAGCTCTCACCCAGATAGAGCTCACCAATGATTCATTGTCATCCTGAAGAGAAATGACAGGTGGGGTGCCGCAAGACTCTGTCCTGGGCCTAGTGTTATTCAGTGTCTTTGTAAATAATTTGGATGAAGGCTTTAAGGGGATGGTCATCGGATTTCCAAATGGGAGAAATAGATAATGCTCCAGAAGACAGAATCAGGATTCAGTCTCTTAACAGATCACAAAGCTATGTCAAGACAAATGAAAGAAGTTTCATCAGGGATATATGTAAAGCTCTATATGAAGCAAGAAAAATTAGATGCAGAAATATAGGATGGATGATATCAAGCTTGACAGTACTTGGAAAGGAACTAGGGAGTTTTGATAGACCACAAGCTAAATATGAGTAAATAACAGTATGATGCAGTACATTGAAAAAACTAAGACTACATCAATAGAAGTTTTGTGCCTACATCAATGCACCCAAGTTCATGAAGGACAAAAATAAGCTGAAACATTCCAGAGGAAGGCATACAAGATGGTTAAAAATCTGGAAACCAAGCCCTATGAAGAGTGACTGATAGAGCTGGGTATGTTTATCTTGGAAAAGAGAAGACTGAGAGATGATGTGATAGCCATCTTCCAATATTTGAAGGGCTATCATGTGGCAGGTGGAGCAAACTTGGTTTTTACAGGATCCACAGGGAAAAATTAATAAATGGATTCCAAAAATGAGGAAGGAAATTTAGATTAAAGATTGGGAAAAACTTCTTAATATTAAGAACTTTTTGACAGTGGAGTGGACTACCTCATAAAGTGGTGGATTTTCCTTAATTGGAGGTTTCTAAATAGGTTGGATGGCCATTTCCTGTGGATACTTCAGCTGTGAAATTCTGCTTTTAGATTTCATCACCCAGAAGATCCCATCCAGCTGTACGATGCTGTGATTCTTTCTCTCCTCCTATTCTATGCCCCTCAGGCCACAAACTTTCTCCTCTCATATTCCATGCCCCTCAGGGCACGAACTGCACATCTCCTGTAAATCAAGGGAGGTGGGCTAATTGTGGTGTATAATCTTCAGTATATAGCAGTGGACCTCAACCTTAGGCCTCCAGATGTTCTTGGACTACAACTCCCAGAAGTCTTCACCACCACCTCTGCTGGCCAGGATTTCTGGGAGTTGAAGTCCAAGAACATCTGGAGGCCCAAGGTTGGGGACCA